AAATATCTTCATGGAAGTTTTTCAGAAAGAAGCCTAGCTGCCAATTCCTAGATGGAACAGACACTGTTCTACCCAGTAATTATTCCCTTCTTACTTGACATTTGAAATACAATTTAATACGGGAACCCTACCACGCCACCATGTGACTCAAGGGTGATTCCTAAGTATTTTAATATAAACATGGTGATTTCTTAACTATGGCCAAAGTTTTATAAGTGGTCATGCAATTCATTTTTGGCCACTGAAACATAAACAGAGATTTGTTGAAGGCTTACGGTAAAGAAATCTTTCTTCTTAAAAAGAGACACAAAAAAGAAAAAAAATCCCTTTTTTTCTGTTGGGCATTGTCGTTTCTGGGGCAGGGATGGCTTGTCACAATGAGAAAATAGCCCAAGGCCAAAGCTGTTACAGTGAAGGTATCAGAGCAAAACAATGGCAAGAACTTGGGTCTTTGATGATGTCACTGAGCCAATTAAATGACCTACACAGGATATGCATACTCTGAATTTCTTGTTATAGGGGAAATAAATGTCTTCCTTTTCTATACCATTTCTGGGTTTTTGTTACTTGAAGAAGCTGAAGACATTGTAAGTAATAATGGCTTTGCTATTGCAGCTTTGGAAAGGAACTCACTAAGTAATAACTAGGTAGCTCAGTGGCTGGAGTTTCCATATAGCAAACGACAATTCAAAAAAAATTAACATTAAGTTAAAAATGGAAAGTAAACTGCTATAAAGATCCAGAGTAGACTAAATTTAAATAGGTACCATTTAACAAAAACACAGTTTAAGTGAAAAGAAAAACAATATTTTGTTTAAATTCTATGCGCGTGCCCAGGCAATCTGAAATGGAAAATGGAGATAATTATCCAAATAATTCCCTTTTGCTTGAATTAATTATCTGGCCTTTTGTGTAAAAACTGTGAGTTGTATATTAATATGTTTTGAGAGCAAGAAAATGGGTATATGTGAAATATATAAATTCATGAAATTATTTTAAAATATATGTGAAAGTCATTTCTTAATTATAAAGTACTAAATTTAACTTTATAAAGTTAAATTTAAATGGACTTACTCATTTGATTTTTCATATATATACACAAATATAAACTTTCAACTTAAATTGTAAGTAATATAAACAATATAGGCCTCCTCTAGCACTGGTAAAAATTTAGTTTTGCTAAATAATGACAATCTTCATTATTTCTCAATTACTCCCTGAGGTACACATACAGTAACATTATTGTACCTGATTTGCAAGTGGAGGAATGGAGAAAGTTACTAAAAGAAAAAGAAAAATCAACTGACTGACCCCGAAGTATTTGACAGAAATGACCAGATGGAATTGGGAATAGAATTAGAATCAGAATTCAATCACAGACTGATCTTTCATCCTTTAAACAAGAACATCAAACTTCATCTCTTTCCCGAAGAGAAAAAAATGACAACATGCAATACATTGAAAAGCAAGGTTAGTTTATCTGCAACTGTGAAAAGTACAGCAGGTTATTTTCTAACATTTATCTCCAAAGTAAAGAAAATGAGGCCAGATAAGCAGAAGGGCTTTATCCTTCTTTAGTCATAGGAAATAAATTGGTTGAGTATCAGCCTTTGAACATTGAAGTGTCCCCTGAACAATACATTTAAAAAGAAAAAGACGACGAAAGTAAGGTATTCTAAGTAATGGACTAAGTAAACAGCTGAGACAGGATGAGGTACAATTTATAATTGAACAATTGCATTTGACTTATTTATGTGCGACCTAAGGCAAACTAATTTAATTTGCAAAAATGGATAAAGAAGTTGATACAGATCCACATTACAAGTTATTTTGAAGAATTAAAAAAGGAAACAAAATGAAAAGCAAAGTTTTACCAAAAGAAAATCAGAAGTAAAGAATTCAAAGGCCTCAACTCTTTGTAAGGATAAGTCAGAAATTTAGACCTCTACCCAAGAACACAGCACATGTAAATCATCTAAACCCTCTAATATTTTAAGTATAATTCCAAACAAAACACACTATCCAAGATACACACATGCACACTCATGGAATATATCTATCATGTTTATACATAGCTGAGGCTCATCTAAATGACTGGAAAGAACAAAATAAATAAAATGTCTATTTCTAATTAAAAGTTATTTTCTATGCTAGTAAAATATCCTAGGATACTGACTATATTTAATCAACATATATTTCCTTAATGTCTATTTTATGCTGTGAGTTAACATTTGTTCTGTTATTTGAGGAGACACAGCTTGAGAAGCTATGTCTCCTCATATATAAAAAACTTCCATAATTCAGGCCCTTGCTCTGTCCTGGATGACAGCCAGTGAGTCTGAGAAAGTAATTCATTCTATAGTTTTCTGCTACTAATGGGATACTTTGTTACTCCTCCCCTCCTCTCTGTACCCCATAGAGGAGTCCAATTTGAATAGATGCTTCTGGGTGCACTCAACTTTTGACAGAGCTTGGAAACTATGGAAAATGTACTTAACATTAGACTGTCAAGGTCTCAGCATTTTTGTGACTAATATGCCCTTAGATGAGTAAATTAACCTCACTGAGCATTCGTTTTCACTACCTATGAAAGCTGTATAACAGTACCTCTAACCTAAGGATGTTGTGAGAATTCCATGAGAGAATATATGGAAAAGTACTTTGAAAATGGTAATGTACTACTGTATACAAATGTGGGGCACTGTTGCTACACCACAAGCCTAAAAGAGTAACTCCAATTAGGGGTGAGAATTCAAAGCTCTGAATTGTAACCAGTGGGACAAAGAGGTTTGAGACACTTCTCACATTACACTACACATGGGGCCACCAGGCATTGCATCAGGCCTAACAACTTCTGTCCCACAGCACAGATTGTAGAAGAACATGGTTATATGAATTTAAAAAATGGCTTTTTAGCTCTCTATCCAATTTTTATTGAAAATAACCTAAACTAAATATATCTTGCAGAGCTCAGATGAGTTTAGATATCCACCTACATGCATGAAAAATGCATAGGTCTCTGTGGGTATGTATATGTATATGTATTAGGACTGGAATGTTGGTGCTGCTATAGTATTTCCACGATACCTGAAGTGGTTATTAAATACCTCAGAAATATGTGCTAGAGAATTCTACTACTGAATACCTCAAATCCCTGACTTCAGTACTATGCAATCTATGCATGTAACAAAATTACACTTGCACTCCATAAATTTATACAAATAAAAAATTGGGAAAAACCATGTAATAGAAATGGCACAGTACTACTTTCTATTCTTAGTTAAATATATTTTCTACATTTCACTAGTTCTATTTTTTTAATTTTAGTGAGCAAATGTGTTTTTGTTATTAATTATTAGCTTTCGATTAGAGCCTCAAATACCAGATTTGACTTCATTACTGATAAACACCCCCTGAAATAATTGCAGTCCCATTTTTTGTTTGTTTTTTGTTTTGTTTTGTTTTGTTTTGGTTTTGCTTTTTGTTTTTTGGGGTTTTTTTTGTGTTTTTTGCTGTTGTTGTTTGTTGGGTTTTTTTGTTGTTTGTTTTTTGAGACAGGATCTCATTCTGTCACCCAGAAGGGAGTGCAGTGACACAATCATAGCTCACTGCAGCCTCAAACTCCTTTGCAGTTCCATTTTTAAAAAGCTTTGTTGAAATATAATTCACATACTTTTAAACTGTACAATTCACTGGCTTATAGTATATTCACAGAGCTATGCAATCATCACCTAAATCTAATTTAGAACATTTTCATCACCCCCAAAAGAAACTCCATATCCATTAGCAGAAATATTCCATTCCCTCACAGCACCTCAGCACCCAGCTCTAGGCAACCAGCAAGCTAATATCTGTCTCTGTATCTTTGCCTACTCTGGACATTTAATATAAATGGAATCATACAATAAGTGTTGTTCTGTGACTATCTTCTTTCACTCAGTATAATGTTTTCACAGATTTTCTGTGTTGTTGCATGTATCGCTACTTCATTTTGTTCTATTGCCAAATAACATTCCATTATAGGGATATACCACATTTTGTTTATCCATTTATTCCATTTATCATTTTGTGGATATTTGGTGTTTTTCCACTTTGGAGCTATCATGAATAATGCTGCTAGGAACATGTGTGTGCACATTTTTGTGTGGTCGTATGTTTTCATTTCTCTTGGGTATATACCTAGATAGGAAATTTCTGGGTCAGATGATATTAATAATTTGATGTAAACTTTGTGATGAACCACCAAACTGTTTTCCACAGTGGCTGCACCATTTTACTCTCCCACCAGCAGTGTGAGTACGAGGGTTCCAATGTTTTCACATCCTTACCAACATTTGCTGTTGTTTTTCTTTCTGATTATAGCCATCCTTGTTGGTATGAAGTGGTATCTCATTGTGATTATCAATTGCAAATTGGATTTGAAATTGATTGCATTTCCCTAATAGCTTAAAGTGTTGGGCATCTTTTCTTGTGCTATTGGCCATTTGTTTATCTTTTTTAGAGGAATGTGTATTCAGGTCCTTTGCCCATTTTTTCTATTGGGATTTTTGTCTTTTCATCATTTACTTGTAAGATTTATTTATATATTATGGATAGTAGACTATTTTCAGATACATGATGTATATTTCTCCCATTCTGTGGGTTTTCTTTTCATTTTCTTAATGGTTTCCATTGTACAAAAGTTTTTAATTTTCATGAAGTCCCATTTATCTATTTTTAAGTCTTGCTTGTACTTAAATGTCATATCTAAGAAATCATTGCCTAACCTAATGTCACAGCTCCCACTCATTTTTCTTAATTAAGCTGTTCTTTTAAAAACATAATGTTTTACTGATATAATTCACATAACACACAATTCACAACTTAAAGTGAACAATTGAGTAGTTTTTAGTCTATTTAACTCCTTTGCTTATTTTAATTGTGTTGTCCTTTTATTATTCAGTTGTTAAGAGTTCTTTGTATATTCTGGATACCAGATCCTTGGAAAATACATGATATATAAATATTTCTCCCATTTTGTAGGTTGTCCTTTCACTTTCCTGATAATGTCCTTTGAGTCACAAAAGCTTTCATTTCTGATAAAGTTCAAATTCTCATATAAATATCTAAATCAATCATAGGTGAGACTCAAGGTATGGTTGATCCTGGGGCAAAACTCCTCTCTTCTTTAGCTATGGACCTGTGAAAGGAGAAAACAAGTTATATTTCAAAATGCAATGGTGGGACAGGCATGGGATAGATATTCCCATTCCAAAAGGGAGAAATAAGAAAAAAAATGGACACAGATCCCAAGTAAGTCCAAAACCCAACAGGAGAAATTCCATCAGATTTCAAGGCCTGAAAATATTCCTCTGTGGCTCGATATTATGCCATCTGTATCCATGGCCCTGCCTTTGTAGTAATTTTTCTTTCATTTTTTTCCATCTCTATCCCATTCAGTTCCAGCTGGCAGCATTTTTTTGCTGATATAAAATTCTCAAAAAACGTATTGGTCTCTTATCCAATTTATGATGGTCAAAGCCATTAGAAAAAAAGGTTCTCCACAGATACTTCCTGGATAAACATACCTATATTCATGGCTTCTGCTGAGATAGTTGATTAAATCCATAATTCACATGCCTAATATCTTAGCAAGCAGTTGTCCAACCACCCACTGCTTTTTGAGCACACTATCAGGATAGGCTGAGAATTTTCCCAATAATCAGGTGCTGATTCTATTGTGCTTAACAGTTCATTCACCAATTTATGTCTTTCCTTTTGCATTTTACTATAAGCAATAAAAAGTAACTGAGCCTCACCTTCCACATTTTCTTAGAAATGTCCTTGGCTAAATATCTAAGCTCATTGCTTACAAATTCCACTTTCCTCCTAGCAATAGAACATAATTCAATCAAAACTCTGTCACTGGCTGGGTGTGGTGGCTCACGCCTGTAATCCTAGCACTTTGGGAGGCCGGTGGGCGGATTGCTTGAGGTCAGGAGTTCAAAACCAGCCTCAGCAAGAGCGAGACCCTGTCTCTACTATAAATAGAAAGAATTAACTGGCCAATAATATATATAGTGAAAAATTTAGCTGGGCATGTGCACATGCTGTCAGTCAAGCTACTCAGAAGGGGGGGGGGGGGGGGGGGTGGGGGGGGGGGGGGGGGGGGGGGGGGGGGGGGGGGGGGGGGGGGGGGGGGGGGGGGGGGGGGGGGGGGGGGGGGGGGGGGGGGGGGGGGGGGGCGGGGCGGGGGGGGGGGGGGGGGGGGACTGAGGCAGCAGGATCGCTTGAGCCCAGGAGTTTGAGGTTGCTGTGAGCTAGGCTGACGCCACGGCACTCACTCTAGCCTGGACAACAAAGCGAGACTCTGTCTCAAAAAAAAAACACCACAAAAAAAAAAACTCTGTCACTTTATAACAAGGATCACCTTTCCTCCAGTGTCCAATAACAGGCTTATCATTTCTTGTTAAGTCTTTACCAGAAGTACATTTACTGCTCATATTTCTATAAACCCTCTCATTAAGGCAATCTATGATTTTCCCATCAAACACTTCAGAGTTCTTCTAGTTTCTACCCATACGTAATTCCAAAGTCAACTCCAAATTTTTTTGCATATGTTATAGAAACACTCCACTCCCTAATACCACAATCTGTATCAGATGCCTACGTCTGTTATAACAAATTGCCACTAATTTCATGGCTTAGAACAACAGAAATTTATTCTCTCACAATTTTGGAGTTTAGAAGTCTGGAACTAAGGTGTTGGCAGAGCTATGCTTTCTCCAAAGGCTCTAGAGAAGAGTTATTCCTGTTCTCTTCCAGCTTCTGGTAGTTCCTGGCAGGCACTGGTATTCTTTTGCTTGTAGACGCATCTCTAAGCAATGTGCCCATCATTACATAGCATTCTTTTGTTTATCTGTGTCCTTCACCTCTTCTTAAAGGACACCAGGCATACTGGATTAAGGTCAACCCTACTCCAGTATGACCTCATCTTAACCAACTATATTTGCAATAGCCCAATTTCCAAACAATGTTAAAATCTGAGATACTTAAGTGTACTTCAGACATAAGCATATCTCTTTAGGTGACACAATTCAAACCATAACAAATACGGTTAACAAATAGCCATAACAAATATGGCTTTGTATGCACGTGTGCATGTGTGTGTGTGTGTGTGTGTGTGTGTGTTTGTATGTGTATGTGTGTGTATGCAGTCTCTGGGATTTTCTATAGATAGGATTATGTTTTCTGTAAATATAAATAGTTTTACTTTTTCCTTTCCAATTTGGATGCCTTTTATTTCTTTTTATTGCCTACATGCTGTAGCTAGAACTTCCAGTACAACATTGAATACCAGTGGTTAAAGTGGACATCCATGTCTTATTCCTGATCTTCAGGAGAACACTTTTATGCTTTCACTATTAATTATGATTTTATTAATAGGTATGTGTTTTTTATAAATGCCATTTATCATGCTGAGGAAGTTCCCTTTTTTCCTAATGTATTGAATGTTCCTATCATAAAAAGATATTGGATTTTGTCAGATGCTTTTATTGCATCAATTAAGATTATCAATTTTTTCTCTTTAACCTTTTAATGTGGGATATTGCATTGATTGCTTTTCTCATGCTGAACTACCCTTATGTTACTGAGATAAATCCTACTTGGTCATGATGAATAAACCTTTCACTATGTTGCTGGATTATGTTTGAAAGTATTTTGTTGAGAATTTTGCATGTATATCATATTTGTTTATAGTTTGTTTATAGTTTTCTTGTAGTGTCTTTGTCTGGCCTTGATATAAAGGTAACGTAGGCTTCAAAAAATAAATTAGAAAATGTTTCTTGCCCTTCTATTTTTGAAAATATTTGAGAAATTGGTATTGATTATTTATATATTTGGTAGAATTCACCAGGGAAGTCATCTGGTCCTGAATTTCTCTTTGTTGAAAAATGTTTGGTTGTTGATTCAGTCTCTTTATTATGTATACGTACATTCAGATTTTCTATTTCTTCTTGGGTCAATTTTGGTAATTTTGGGGTTTCTAGAAAATTTTCCATTTCGTCTAGGCAATATAATTTGTTTGGGTACAATTGTTCATAGTATTCTCTTATAATCATTTTTAATTCTGTAAGGTCACTAATAATGTCCCCATTTCATTTCTGATTTTAGTTATTTGCATCTTCTCTCCTTTATCCTTTGTAAGTTTAATGAATAGCTTGGCAATTCTTTAGTTTTCTCAGAGAACCAACTTTAGGTCTCATTGAATCTCTCAACTATTTTTCTATTCTCTACTTTATTTATGTCAGCTCGAATTTTTATTATTTTCTTCCTTCAGTTAGATTTCAGTTTGCTTTGCTCTTCTTTTGCTAGTTCATCAAAGTATAAAGTTAAATAATTAATTTGATATCTTTCTCTTTATTAACGTATGCATTTGCAGCTCTAAATTTCTCTCTCACAACTACTTTTACTTAATTCCTTAAGTTTTGTTATATTTTGTTTTTGTTTTCATTCATCTATATTTTCTGATTTCCTGTGTGATTTATTCTTTGACCTACCGGTTGTTTAAGAGTGTGTTGTTTAGCTGGGAATTGTGGCACACAACTGTAGTCCCAGCTACTAGGGAGACTGAGGCATGAGAATTGCTTAAGCCCAGAAGTTTAAGTTCAACCTGAGCAACATAGTAAGACCCCATCTCTAAAATAAATAAATACATAGTTTTAAAAAAATTGTTATTTAATTTCTACATATTTGTGAAATTTCTAGTTTTCCATCTGTTATTAATTTTTAGCCTCTTCCCACTGTGGTCAGTAAGATATTCTGTATGATTTCAATCTTTTTTAATTTACTGAGACTATTTAGTGGCTTAATATATGGCTTATCCTGAAGAATATTGCAAGTGCACTTGAAAAGGTATATTTTGTTGTTGAATTGTGTTTTATATGTGACTCTTAGTTTATAGTATTTTTCAATTGTATACTTCTTTATCTTTTGTCTAGATGTTCTATCCATTATTACTAGTGGGGTATTGAAGTTTTCAGCCATTATTGTCAAAATGTCTATCTCTCCCTTCAATCATATCAATATTTGCTATATGTATTTAGCAGCTTAGTTGTTTGGTATGTATATGTTTATAATTGTCATTTCTTCTTGACTAATGACCATTTTATCAACATATAATATACTTATTTTTCTCTAATAATACTTTTTGATTTGAAATCTATTTTGTCTGATATTGATATAGCTACCTCTGCTCTCTTGGATTACTCTTTGTAGAAATATCTTTTTTTATCCTTTCACTTTAAACCTATATGTGTCTTTAGAGCTAAATTGAGTCCTTCATAGACAATCTCTAATTGGATCATTATTTTTATCCATTCTGTTAACCAATAGCCAGTCAATAGATTGAATCAGTAGTCAAAAACTTCCCAACAGAAAAAAATATATATATATATGTTCTCAGAATAAGATGGCTTCACTGGTGAATTCAACCAAGGTTTTTAAAGAAGAATAAATGCCAATCATTCTAAAACTCTTCCAAAAAATTGAGGAACACTTCAAAACTCATTTTACAAGGCCAGCATTACTTGATACCAAAGGCAGACAAAAACAATACATGTAGAAAAAAATTACAGGACAATATACCTGATTAACATAGATGCAAAAATCCTCAATAGAATACTATAGAACTAAATTCAACAGCAAAATAAAAGGATCATTCAGTATGACCAAGTGGGATTTATCTTTGCAATTCAAGGATAGGTCAACATGCAAAAATCAATAAATGTGTTATACCACCAAGGATAAAAATTATATGATCATCTCAATAGATACAGAAAAAGTATTGAACATAATTCAACATCCATTTACAATGAAAAACCCTCAAGAAATTAGGTATGACTCCATAATATGATGAAATAAAAGGAAAAAACAGAAATTAGGTATGAGAGGAATGTACCTCAATGCAATAAACCCCATACATAACAGGCCCACAGCTAACATCACACTTAATAGTGAAAAGCTGAAAGCTTTTCCTCTAAAATTACAAACAAGACAAGGATGCCCACTCTTGTCACTTCTATTCAACATACTACTGGAAGTCCTACCAAAAGCAATTAGGCAAGAAAATGAAATAAAAAGGATCCAAATTGAGAAGGAGAAAATAAAACTGTCTCTATTTGTGGATGACATAATCTT